ACAGTCTCTTCAACAAATGGTGTTGGGAAAATTGGACAGTTACATGCAGAACAATGAACTGGACCATTTCCTTATACCACACACAAAAATAGACTCCAAATGGTTGAAAGACCTAAACATGAGACAGGAGTCTATCAACAACCTAAAGGAGAACACAGGCAGCAACCTCTTTAACCTCAGATGCAGCAATGTCTTTCTAGAAACATCGCCAAAGGCGAGGGAAGCAAGGGCAAAAATGAACTATTGGGACCGCATCAAGATAAAAGCTTTTGCACAGCAAAAGAAACAGTCTACAAAACCAAAAGACAACCGACAGAATGGGAGAAGATATTTGCAAATGACACATCAGATAAAGGGCTAGTATCCAAAATCTATAAAGAACTTATCAAACTCAACACCCAAAGAACAAATGATCCAATCAAGGAATGGGCAGAAGGCATGAACAGACATTTTTCCACGGAAGACATCCAAACGGCCAACAGACACATGAAAAAGTGCTCAACATTGCTTGGCATCAGGGAAATCCACATCAAAACCTCAATGAGATATCACCTCACACCAGTCAGAATGGCTAAAATTAACAAGTCAGGAAACGACAGATGTTGGCGGGGATGTGGAGAAAGAGGAACCCTCCTACACTGTTAGTGGGAATGCAAGCTGGTGCAGCCACTCTGGAAAACAGTATGGAGGTTCCTCAACAAGTTGAAAATAGAGCTACCATACAATCCAGCAATTGCACTACTGGGTGTTTACCCCAAAGATACAAATGTAGGGACCCAAAGGGGTACGTGCACCCCGATGTTTATAGCAGCAATGTCCACAATAGCCAAACTGTGGAAAGAGCCAAGATGTCCATCGACAGATGAATGGATAAAGAAGATGTGGTATATATACACAATGGAATATGATGCAGCCATCAAAAGGAATGAGATCTTGCCGTTTGCAACAACATGGATGGAACTGGGGGGTATTATGCTGAGCAAAATAAGTCAATCAGAGAAAGACATGTATCATATGACCTCACTGATATGAGGAATTCTTAATCTCAGGAAACAAACTGAGGGCTGCTGGAGTGGTGGGGGGTGGGAGGGATGGGGTGGCTGGGTGATAGACATTGGGGAGGATATGTGCTATGGTGAGCACTGTGAATTTTGCAAGGCTGTTGAATCACAGATATGTACCTCTGAAGCAAATAATACATTATATGTTAAAAAAAATAAAAAGGAAGAAGAAGATAGCAGGAGGGGAAGAATGAGGCGGGGGAAATCGGAGGGGGAGACGAACCATGAGAGACGATGGACTCTGAAAAACAAACTGAGGGTTCTAGAGGGGAGGTGGGTGGGAGGATGGGTTAGCCCGGTGATGGGTATTAAAGAGGGCATGTACTGCATGGAGCACTGGGTGTTATATGCCAACAATGAATCATGGAACACAAATCAAAAACTAATGATGTAATGTATGGTGATTTACAGAACATAAAAAAAAAAAAGTAACCATTCCTTTGCAGCATGTTAAAATCACCCATCCCTATTGAAAAATGATATTTTAGTTAATTTTCTGCCATTTTTTGTTTAATTCCCATGACTCTGAAATATAATAAAACACTAAGGGTTGCATAAGTTAAGGATATAAGCATAAATGTGTATGTATATATATATATATATACACACACACACACACACACACACATATACACAAAAATACATACTTCACAGGAAAAATTTTAAATAGTAAATATGCATAATAAAGTTTGCAATCTCTGAGGTAGTGATAATATGGACATTATATGAATACAAAAGGCTTGGGATCCTTCCCTTTCTGAAATATTAATTGCTACCTCTCTCACAACTAAATGAGCTAGGTTGATATTAATTTTCTCTAGATATATTTATCTTAATTCAAAGTTGAATTGGAATTCCTTGAATATTTCTTTGAGAAGGTATCTTCCCTAATTTGATGTATGCAAGTATCCTCATTTTTTTTTTGAGCATGGTGCACTAATATTTTTATTTTTAATTTTTTAGCTTTATTTTTTAAAATTTTATTATGTTATGTTAATCACGATACATTACATCATTAGTTTTTGATGTAGTGTTCCATGATTCATTGTTTGCGTGTAATACCCAGTGCTTCATTCAATACATGCCCTCTTTAATACCCATCACCAGGCTAACCCATCCCCCTACACCCCTCCCCTCTAGAACCCTCAGTTTGTTTCTCAGAGTCCATAGTCTCTCATGGCTCGTCTTTCCCTCCAATTTCTCCCCCTTCATTTTTCTCTTCCTACTATCTTTTTTTTTTTTAACATATATTATTTGTTTCAGAGGTACAGGTCTGTGATTCAACAGTCTTGCACAATTCACAGCGCTCACCGAGCATAAACCCTCCCCAATGCAAGTATCTTATTTTTAACAGTATAAGTAGTTTATCTTCATAGTGAGACCTAAAGTTAGAACAATCAGCAGCAGGTAAAACTCATCTCCAGTATTGTAAGTGGGGATACTAGTTACCTTCAGCAAAGGACAGTGGTGACTGTGAGAGAAGTGAAGGGAATCCAGGAGTGTTGGGGGTTTCCCATTTCTTCACCTGGGTCTTGATTTCACCGATGTGCTCACATTGTAGTATCTTGCTCTATATGTGTGTGTGTATGTGGTGTTTCATTCTGTATGTATGTATCAGTTTTCACTTTTCATTATGTATATAATAATTTCAAAAGCTTATTTTAAACAGTAAGTGACCCTCAGTTATGCTTTTTAAATTTTAACAATTAAGAATCAGAAGTCAAATAAGTACCTTCCTGATTTAGAGACTATTTAAAGAATTAAATATTTGTAAAATTATTTTTGTCCAATACAAATGCACAAAATACAATCTCTGGTTTAGAAGATCCAAATAAAAAATAGACACTAATAACTGTATTTGGGTCCAATACAAATGGAGAAAATATCTGCATGCAAGAGAAATGTAGAACAACAGATTACATCTAATTTGTTGATTCAACTACATCAGTAACTTTGGATTTCTTCCACTACTGAACATTAAGCATCAGGAAACTGACACTTTAAAGAGAAAACTCAAGTCAAAATAATTTTTTAAAATTATGGCACAGAGAGGGGACCTGGGTGGTTCAATTGGTTAAGCATCTGCCTTCGGCTCAGATCATGATCTCAGGGTCCTGGGATGGAGCCCCACATCTGGCTCCCTGCTCAGCGGGGAGCCTGCTTCTCCTTCTTCCTCTTCCCCTCTCTCCCGCTTATGCTCTCTCTCTCTCAATAAATAAAAATTAAAATAGATAGATAGATAAAGGCACAGTGATCATTAATGGTGCAAGGTTCTGGGGTTAGAGTGCTTAATGTCTGGATCCAAACTATACCATGAAATAGCTGTGATCTTCAACAAAGTAGTTAAGTTCTCAGTTTCCTCATTTGTAAAATGGAAATAACAATAATACTGACCTTACTGGGTTGTTGAAAGGCTTAAATAAGCAACAGTGCCTCAGACAAAATAAACATACTCAACAGGTATTAACTATATACAGAGACACATTACATAAACTGTATCTCATATACATTACATACTAGAATCTTGGAATCTATTTTTAAAATTAAATAAACATATATTCAATAAATTTTCCCTGTACTTACTTTTATATCCTATCCTCCAATTCAAACTGTAGACACAGTTCCTCAGTGATGAGGGCATATATTCGTTTTCTAACCTCAAAGTCAAATCTTCATCTGTATTATAACATATTTGTCACATTAATAGAGTGCTATTACTTTTATTACCTGCGTCTCTACACCCTGTTCCAGTAGGCGCTTAGCTTGATTTTCCACTTCAAGTCGAGCTCTTGCAATGAAAAGTAGATCATTTTCTATTACTTCTATTCCAGAAAGATCTATTCCTTGAGAAAGATAATCTATCAAAAAAAAACAAAAAACAAAAAACACACACATTTAAGTATTTTACTGTTGAATAAATATCAAGGTACTGAAATACCATGTCTGATTCTTCAAAATGCTATAGATTTGCTGTTGAACACTATTCCCTTTCAAAATCTGTATTTTAAAAAATATAAACATTTTCTATTTAATAAATAACTTTACTCTGGAGCAAAAATTCTAAATAAGATTGAGTTGATAAAGCAAGAATAGAAATTATAATTATAGTAAATTCCAAGTAATGTCAACACATTACATAAAAAATAGTGTCAAATTTATTTTAATATAAAGAAATATCCTGATCTTAGAAATCTTAGAAATTTCTCATGCTGCAAGAAAGTTCTAAAAGTTATTCTATAGTAACAAAATATTTGAAACAAATGTCCACCATTTGAATAATAAATCATGAAAATAATTTAGCATGCTGTCAGTTTATAGGATTATGCAGACCTAATATCAACTTACATTGAAGGATTTTCATATCATTGAATAAAAAAATTTAAAAGAGGAATTAACTACTTATAAAACTAACATATTCTATTTATAGAATGATACAGAGCAAGAAGCATGAAAAGATCTCTTACAAAGATGTTAACAGTAACTGTACATACTTAGAATTTGAGAAAGTTATTTTTTATGTTTTTATTTTTTGACTTATCTTAGACATAGCTAAGGTAACTAAAATGTTAAAACTAAAGGTCAAGATTTCAAGAGTAAACAGCTTATTCACAGTTCTAAAACTGTTTTCTATTTTAAAAGATAAATTATTTCTAAAAATCACAACTGCTTTAGATATAAGATTACTTTGTTTTCCAATTACTCAACAGAGTATCAAATCTGTTTTTCACTATATTCTCTTAATTGGAAGTGATTTAAGTCTTATTAAAATATATTCCGAGCACTTACATATTATCATTTTTTACATAAGCAGAGTCACAGCCTACTACTTCAATGCTAACTAACCACTTAGTTACCTATCCACTCCAATATCTACTGATTGAACACCATATATATAGTTAGTGCTACACAAGATGACAAAAGGAAATGAAACAGAGTTCCCGTGCGGTCGTCCAGGTGAGGGAGCTGGAAGAGAGTCCGAATTCTAAGGCTTTCAGCAGAGATTTGAGAAATGGCAACAAATGAAAGTATCGGCATCTTTAGTTCAGCATCCTTGGCTGTGGAGTATGTAGACTCACTTTTACCTGAAAACCCTCTACAAGAAACATTTAAAAATGCTTGGAACTATATGTTGAATAATTATACAAAGTTCCAGATTGCAACATGGGGATCCTTGATAGTTCATGAGGTCCTTTATTTCTTGTTCTGTTTACCTGGATTTTTGTTTCAATTTATACCTTACATGAAAAAGTACAAAATTCAAAAGGATAAACCAGAAACATGGGAAAACCAATGGAAATGTTTTAAAGTACTTCTCTTTAATCACTTTTGTATCCAGCTTCCTTTGATCTGTGGAACTTATTATTTTACAGAGTATTTTAATATACCTTATGATTGGGAAAGAATGCCAAGATGGTATCTGCTTTTGGCAAGATGCTTCAGCTGTGCAGTGATTGAGGATACCTGGCACTATTTCCTGCATAGGCTCTTACATCACAAAAGAATATATAAATATATTCATAAAGTTCATCATGAGTTTCAGGCTCCATTTGGAATGGAAGCTGAATATGCACATCCCTTGGAAACTCTGATTCTTGGAACTGGATTTTTCATTGGAATCATGCTTTTATGTGATCATGTCATTCTCCTTTGGGCATGGGTGACTATTCGTTTGATAGAAACTACTGATGTCCATAGTGGTTATGACATTCCTCTCAATTCTTTAAATCTGATCCCTTTCTATGCTGGTTCTCGGCATCATGACTTCCACCACATGAACTTCATCGGAAACTATGCTTCAACATTTACATGGTGGGATAGAATTTTTGGAACAGACTCTCAATTTATTGCCTACAATGAAAAGATGAAGAAGATTGAGAAAAAGACTGAATAAATATCTAAACCTTCCTGAACATACACACTTTCCTGAATTGAAGCAAGTAGCTAACATTGCTTCTGAGGAGCAGAAATAAACGTGTCTTGGCTGCTAAGTGATACAAAGAACATTAACAATCTTTAATTATCTTCCTAGTGGGAACTTTTTCTACTTTACATAAAAGTTCTGTATGTGTAGAAATAAGTATATATTTAAGTACGATTTTCATGAGGAAGTTGTAAAGGCCATGTTGCTAACCTTACAGAAAGGTTTTAAGTAATGGAAAAAGTATTAATTTGTCTTTCCCCTAGTAATACCATAGGCCTGAAGTTGAAATTGGTCTTGAAAATCTTTTAAATATATAGTGGCCATTGCAGAAACTCTTAGTAGGGTGTTGGCCTCATATTGAACTTTAAACATTTTTTAGAATTTGCTTAAACATCAAAGTATCATGGGTTGAACCATATCAGTTGACAGTGAGTGACGCTGCCGAATCAGGAATAGCCAGTACCAAGAACTTCACTCTTGTCCTGAACTGACCGGTTTGGGGTGATTCTCTTTCTTTGAGAAGTCTTTTGGGATTGCACTGTACTAGTATCTATAAATTAAGGCATTTCTGAATTGTTGTAAGTGGAATATTTTAGTCTAAAGGTTTTTGGGTTACTTGAATTTTTTTAAAAATTGAGCTTTATTTCTATTTACCCTTTTTGTATTTCAAGTTTTCATTATACTTAAAACTGTATCTTGAAACGTGAACTGACTTGCTGTATTTGCACTTTGGACTATTGAAATAAATGTGATTTTTTTTGTCTGATTAAAAAAAAAGGGAAATGAAACAGAAGGGCAGCTGAACAGTGGTTATTGCTAATGGCACCTCAACCATGAGCATTTTTTTAAATTTTATTTTATTATGTTATGTTAGTCACCATACATTACATCATTAGTTTTTGATGTAGTTTTCCATGATTCATTGTTTTCGTATAACACCCAGCGCTCCATTCACTACGTGCCCTCCTTAATACCCATCACCAGGCTAACGCATCCACCTACCCCCTCCCCTCTAGAACCATCAGTTTGTTTCTCAGAGTCCATCGTCTCTCATGGTTTGTCTCCCCCTCCAATATCCCCCCTCCATTTTTCCCTTCCTACCTTTTTTTTTTTAAACATATAATGTATTATTTGTTTCAGAGGTACAGGTCTGTGATTCATCAGTCTTACACAATTCACAGCATTCACCATAGCACATACCCTCCCCAATGTCCATCACCCAGCCACCCCATCCCTCACCCCCGACCACTCCAGCAGCCCTCAGTTTGTTTCCTGGGCTTAAGAGTTCCTCATATCAGTGACATCATATGATACTTGTCTTTCTCTGATTGACTTATTTCGCTTAGCATAATACCCTCTAGTTCCATCCACGTTATTTCAAATGGCAAGATTTCCTTTTTTTTTTTTTTAAGATTTTTATTTATTTATTGAGAGAGAGAGAGAGAATGGTAGAGAGAGAGCATGAGAGGGAAGAAGGTCAGAGGGAGAGGCAGACTCCCTGCTGAGCAGGGAGCCCGATGCGGGACTCGATCCCGGGACTCCAGGATCATGACCTGAGCCGAAGGCAGTCGCTTAACCGACTGAGCCACCCAGGCACCCGCAAGATTTCCTTTTTTGATGGCTGCGTAATAGTCCATTGTATATATATGCCACATCTTTATCCATTCATCTATTGATGGACATCTTGGCTCTTTCTATAGTTTGGCTATTGTGGACATTGCTGCTATAAACATTGGGGGCTCGTACCCTTTGGATCACTACGTTTGTATCTTTGGGGTATTTACCCAGTAGTGCAATTGCTGGGTCATAGGGTAGAACCATGAGCATTTTTGTTAAATGTATATAACTAAGGGGACTTTGGACTACCACATTGAAAAGAGTTTTGAAAAACCTTTAAATCATATGGGCTTAGGATTCTGCCTCATAATTTACTCACTAGGTGATCACAGTCACAAGATAAAGCCTCACTGAGCCTCAATTTTTTCATCTGCAAATGTAAATGTAAAATGCCAACAGCATAGAAGTCATGCCCTACATAACTCTTAAGACTATCATCAGAATCAAAATAATTTAATGAATGCCAAAGTACTTTATACACCAATCTATTATGTAAATGTGGAGTGGATTATTATACAAAAAGTTTATCTGATTTTTTAATTTTAAATTTTATTTTTCAGAGAATTTTTTGAAAACTACATATGACTCCAGTCATGGTAATCATCAATGAGGAAATGCTATGTTTACCTTAAAACACTTAACAGACAATATAGAATCAAACTACAGACATGCATACAATAGAAAATAAGCATTATTTTCTTTTCAAGCCGGTTATCAATGTGTTTCTCTTTTTCTGTAACCTAAGGAGGAAAAGTATCACAACTAAGAAAAAAAAAGGAGGGGAAAGACACTATGAATCTGCTTAGGTTCTATTTCTGCCATATATGTTTTTGAATATATAAGTCTTGCCATCTTTGGTACCAGTTGCTTTATTTGAAAAATGAAGAGCTAGAGTATATCAACTTTAAGGTTCCTTACAGTTATAAATTTCCAGAGATAAAGCCAAAAGTTGCTTTATTCTTAAGAATGCTGATCTGTCACTCTGGAGACAATTCAAATCATTCATTCAAACCTTTTATTGAGTATCAAACATTTATAAGTCACAAACACTAAAGAAATGAGCCAGACTTCATTTCTCACCCCAAGTAGCAAAGTCTAAAAAAGGAAAACAAAGCACAAAGGTGCAACCACTGAAAGATAAAGATAAAATGTATTATGCTAGGTGTTATGGGAACAAAAAGAAAGTAAATATTGTTTATCTTTTCACAAAGTCTACCATCTAGTAGGGGTGAAAGGAATATAAATGATTAATTCCAATAACTTTTTAAGGTAAACAGTAGCCCCATCACATTATCTAACCAACTCCTTCTCCCATTGCTCCATCTCATTCATCCACACTGTATACTCACTTAAAAAAATACAGCTACTCACTTTAAAAAACAACCAAAATACATACTAGATTTGGAATACAAAGTATTCTACTCGTTGGGAGGGAGAAAGAGCCCTATTATTCTCCTTACAGGATTTCAATAAAAGAGATTAATTATAGAAAGGGGGGGGTGAAAAACAGCAGACAAAGTAGCAAACCCCCCCACCCACCCAGCCAGGAGAATGGAGAGATTACACTAAATTCTCCCCTCTTGTTTAATCGTCCCATACAATCGTTATCAGTGTTTCAAGTCTTTTCACATCTGCTCTTCGTGAAACACATCTAGGACCTGGAACCAAGGACAAAAAGATGATGATTCCAGTAATAATAACCATAATTTTTGAACATATAACATGTGGAAGGCATTAAACTGGACACAAAATGTCTTTTCATTATTTTAATGTATGCTTCCATTATTTGTAATATTCTAAACAACCTTGCTAGAAATATTATTGAATTATTAACAAATTCAGCTGGCTAGTAGGCAGCAAAGAATTTAAATCCAGATCTGACTTCCATCTTTTCAATAGATCATCCAAGGCCAAACCCACAAGCCTCAGAAAGAAGAAAACTTTATATTCAAAAGACAGATAGATTCCTCCTATAGTATTCCAGTTTGCTCAGTGAAAGAATAAAAATGAAAAAATCTTATCAGAATTAATCGTTCGGGGAATTAAGAAAGGTTAAAACAATGACAGCATTAAAAAACTCATATTTTGAGTTTAATAAAAAAGAAAAAGGAAAATCTTTAAAATATTAAAAAATGGCCTAAAATGACAAATTTTGAAATATGCCAGCATTAGTCACACTTTAACCATTAAACCTTAATAAATGTGGAGTACGCAGTCACTTACTACTAATACCTGTTGAATTTTTTCATGTATAAAAATATGTATGAAGAAAATAACATGACCCTTTGGATTTAACATATCATCTCCTTAGATGCGAGAAAATAATGTGACTAATTTTGATGGAAAAGAAATGATATTGGTCATCTCTTTGTTTAATTATGCTGAGAAAAATTTAATCTAATATTAGAGAAAAAGGAATTCAACCAAAACATCTGACACAGGTATCAAGAGTGGATAAAATGATCATAAACAATTTTTTGTCAAATATACACAAGTCTTTGAAATTTAAGGTACTAAAAAATAAATTCTGGTTTCCCCTATTACCACTGTCTTGGTCTAAAACACTAAAAGTTCAGAATAAACTTTATATGCTTTGCCCCAGGCAGTCACTTGATCTCAGTGACTGGTTCTTGTATTATTTCCTGGGACTACCTATTTCTTTTCATTTCTTTATCTTTAGACTAAACCAATACCTCAAGAGCATAAAAACTATTTATTAGTAAGATATATGCCTGTCATTTTTATAGACGTTCAGTGTTCTAATCAGTACTACACCTGGCGAGCAGAATAAATATTCTCATGCTCCTCTCCCACTCACGGAATCTATGGCTTTCCATTAACTAACAATTTCTCTTTCTATTTTGCAACACAAATCTTTCTTATTGATTCCCGAATCCTCACTGCCTCTTCCTCTACCAGCATCCTCCTTTGTTTAAAACAAACAAAAAGAAGAGTAATTATAGTTTGTTAAATGATTCAGCTCTGCATTTCCTTTTCATAAAAATGTTGGCACTAAATTATTGATCTGGAACAAAAGAGATGAGGGAAAAGTTCATGTGTAAAGTTGGGATGGTGCTTGGGATGGTGCTCAAAGTCAGAAGAAATGAAAGAGGTTAAATCTTCATGCTTCATTATAGAAAGCCAAAAAAGTTAAAAACTAAAAAGTGGAAACATGGGCAGGTTACTTAGATATAGAGGTAAATACCATGGGAATCAGCAAAATGTTGAAATGAATACCTCGGGCAAAGTAAATGGTAAAGGCATTGCTCTTTTTTTTTTAATAATAAATCTTGTAGAACTATTTGAGTATATTATGCATATATAATCTTAACAAAACTAAATTAAAGAGTAAATGGGAAATAAAAATAATTTGAAAAATTAAAACAAGGTAGCTAGTTTAAGGAAATAACAGAATTCTCATCCTCTAAATGATTCTGCTTATGGGAATAAGTAATCTTTAAAAATAAGAAAAAAGTGAATATATTTGGGTAGGAAGATATTAATCACCATGTTAGCTGTAAGAAATATATACATACATATGTACATCTGCATGCAGATTTGTATATATATGTATGCATATATATATGCATGGGTATATAAAGAGAAACATTGTAAATGACTAAAAACCACTTTGAA